GAATGTCTCTCTCCTCTGTACACGCTTTTGGCCTACGCTGCCGACTTCTTTTAAAAACCTTACCTTTTCTCTTTACGTTTCTTACGGTCCCGCAGGAGCAGCTCGCCATCTAACCCACTGACAACTCAGATGCCCGACAACAGGCGGCATCTGATTCCCTGACGGGAAAGCAAGGTGTTCATCTGAGCAAAATTCAGTTTTCTTTTGCAGACCTTTCCTCTCCTGATTAGACAGCAACGTAAGGAGTTTACCACAGACGAGGATATTCTCTTTTTACCCTATCTTCAGGCTTCACCCGAACCCAGACGTGATGGAGAGGTCACTGCTCAGCATTCAGACCCCCCCTGCAGCCCCGCGGAGCCCTCTCCCTCCTGCCCCCAGGGCCGCCCCTGCGCGCCCCCCCTTTTGCACAGCCTGGAGGTTTGAACCCTACGCTAGGCGTGCTGCCTGCGGGGCCCTCCCAGCAGATTTGCGTTTGATCAGCTGCCCCCAAAGCAGCAGAAACGCTGCGGGGCGTAAAAAGCTGCAAAACCGATCGGAAAAGCAGAAACACGGCATTAAACCACGTGTTTTAAAATCCCTCCAGAGCTGGGGGCTGCGGCCAGGGAGGAGAGCGGGGTGCCTTGCTGGGCCAGCACACACCACGCTTCCACCTTCCCCTGCCATAAAGCACCTTCCCCCTCTCCTGTCTGCCCCTCTGCTGTTCTCCCTGAGGCCAGACCCCATCCCACGGAGCATCTCCGGGTGGTAAAAGCGGGAAGAGATGGGGAAGAGAGGAAGGGAAGGGAGGCCAAGGCACAGGGCAAGGGGCTCTCCCTCCTCCGCTGAGGGATGCCCTACATCTTGTTCCAGGCAGAGAGGCAGGGACAGCTGGGGGGGAGGAGGAGGATTACGAAAAGAGAGAGAAACAGCCCGGAAACAGCCTTGTCTTACACCCTCATTTCTCACAGAAGCTGTCCTTGGAATCTTGGTTGTGGGAGGGAGAAGCCAAAGTCTGCGGGGGCCAGGGAAAAACCGCTGCTGAAAAGGGG